ACTACAAATAAACATTTAATTATAAACATAATTATATTTAGACAAAGACCAATAAACAACCAATGAATCCTAACTAAACCTATAGGTACAAAGTATACAAGAAAAAGGGTTTCTCCAAGTGTGTCCTGGACCAATTTTATCTTAATCCTTCTAGAAATTTGGGAATATTTTCTGACTATTGCAATAACTTGTAACTTATTTTTCTAATTTCTAGTACCATTTTATTACAAATTCTACACAGTGTTAACATGTTACATGGTCAGGTCTCCAAGCAATATCAGTAAATAACTTTGAATGCTCGTAAGAATTTAGATTTTCCTTCTTTTTAATAAGTAAAAGTAAAGTGGAGAAAATAACGTTTTTCACTTCAAAATTTGTCACGTTTCATGTTCCCAAACCAGGGTAAGAACATTCATTTTATGATTTTAATCATAGTTAATTAAGAGTATTCAATTTTAAAACCCTTGTGGTAAGTTTCTAAAGATAATTTTTATTACAATAAATTACAGTGATGGCTGGTAAATTTGCATACTACAGTATATCAACACATTGGCAATGCATTGGTTGAAGTTAGCTAAAATTCCGTAATGCAGCTTGACTAAAGCTTTCGTTTGAAGGTGGTGCTGTTGATGGTGAAGTCTCTAATTGATTTGCGCCTGTGTTGTTACCAGACTGTGAAAGATTTTGACTTTGTATTTGTTCAATTGCTCCTTTTAAAAGGGACAGGACATGGCTTATCAGACTTTCCGCCATTTTGGTTGCCAATTATTTAGAAAACGTATACTAATTATAATAAATTATAACAAGTTATAATAAATTATAGTAAATCTAAAATGGGTGAACCGCTGAACATGAAAACTGTAAGGTTCAGCGCAAAGAAATGAGACCGCTGTACTCAAACACAATACCGACTCAGCGATGTAAATCGAAAAAGGATGAACATGAGAAATCAATTTGGCGAGAAGTGATCTTTTTTTGTTATCTGTCATGCTTCATATATCTTGTTTCTTCTCGTTGTATTTTGCACAAAGTTTAGGAAAAAAGGTTTACAAAAAGGTTTACAAAATGACAGTTGAATTGCTGACTTTCTCTCTTAGCCAATTGGAATGTTTGTTGATACTTTTCAGTCTCGGTGCAATTAACCAATCCACAAACATTCTCTCTTAGCCAATCAGAACGTTTTTTGATGACCAGTCGTGCATGCGCATAACTTACAAAACCACCCAAGGTCAACGGTCCATGACATACAATTTGGACAACTTTGGATCAGTGAGCTCTATATATATATATATATATGGAACAGTAACTTTGTTGCTAAAAGTGAAGCAAAACATGGCAGAAATTGAAGGAGCTGTTGGAGGTTTTTTCTTCCTATGTGTGTGGTCAAATTATTTTTCATTGTTTTAAGAAAAATGAGCAGGTGCGTCAATCAATTAACGTGAATGAATATTGGATGAACAACTTCAACATCAAGAGCAATAAGTTCAGAATGGTTGAACCAGAACCTTTGGATGTGCGCTGCATCACACTGTTTCCTGGTTGCCTTAAATTTGGTTTGCATCCAATTTTTTTATTTTTGATAAGCACTCTGATAAAATTTCTGTAACAGACTCAGCAATGCTCTCATCCAGTTGATTCATTAGTACTTGTCTAACTGATTGGACATGGAAAACCGGAGACGTACCACATTGTTGGATTAAAGCTGTTAGAGAAATACTAACATGATAATATGATATATAGAGATTACTTCATTCTTGGCAAGTGCATACGATTTTCATACACGAGTTGTGACGGTTGCAAAACGAACGAGTGAATGTAGTGAACAAGTGAGTTTGCAATTCCTTTGCAACAAGTGCATAATAAAAATAGTACAAACAAGCCAACCAGGAAGTAATTTGTTTATTATATAAGTATTGGGTTTTTAGTAAAATTTAGGTAAAGTTTAAATGAAACAGCAAATATTTCAATAAATAATGTATTAAAGAAGTGTCACTCAAAGAAATAATGTCAATAGACAATGAGTCATACATTTACTTCCAATCAGAGTCGATTAATCGTAGTCTTTTGTATTTTTGTAGCAGCACATTATCTGTAACTGCCATGGGAGATTGATTTTAGCTGTTGATCGAAATCCTTATTTCACCTCCACAAATTACTGCATCAGAAAACAAAGCCATTGCTTGTACAAAGCAAAGCCATTCTCTTAAGGTATATACTCGATGGTTAGCTTTCTGAATAACAGTTTCAACATGATTGTTCCATTTAAAGTTGTTTTGAAGCCCCATTCCAAGTAGTTTGAATTTGTTCACTCTCTCAACAAGTTCATCACCAATGTAAACAGGAGGAGGTACCGGTACTGATTCCATGAAGCAAATCCACATGTCCTTTGTTTTTTTGACGTTGATGCTCATTTTGTTAGCCACTGACCAATTTTGAATAGTATCTAGGGCCTGTTGGACATGGCTTATTTCTTTGGCACCAACTGCTTGATTGAGTGTGCAGTCATCGGCATACTTCGAGGTATCAACGTTTAGGCTTGGGTGGATATTTCATCCTCTAAATCATTAATATATACATTAAATAGCATAGGAGAGATAACCGAGCCTTGCGAAACTCCAGCCGGGCATGGAGCGGATGATGATGACAACGTTTGATTTAGTTTTACCTGTTGACTTCTCATAGATAGGAAATCTCGAATCCACAGCCAAAATGATTTAAGTTATGTTCATAGAGGCTAATTTAGAAAGGAGGATTCGGTAGTCGACCATGTCGAACGCTTTGCTAAAGTCTAAAGTCAATGGAAATAGCGTGGATACCTTTTCTGCCATGCGCAGTGTTTTCGGTTTCGTCAAACCATTTTTGGCAAATTTCAGTCAATGCTGAGATTGTAGAGCGGCCCTTGAGAAATGCATGTTGGTTATCTTTTAATGTAAGATCTGCGCAATGGGTATGTTGCCGTTTCCCAGACCCCGCGCGGTTTTGCAATGCATTTTGGGATCGCTAGGGGGCAAACAAACACATTCTTTAATACTGTGATATACATAAATTCATATGTTCAACGATTCGAAGCGAAATTTCCTTGAAATCTCATAAATATTTATTAAAGTATTATTATTACATGCCTAAAGGAGATCACTGTGCTGTATTTGGTTGCTCAAACGATCGAAGATATCCTGAAAACCAAATTATCAAGCCTCATGTAGGTATACTTCGATTTCACTCGCCATTAAATCTTCAGGATGCTAGTAAGTGGGAAAACTGATTAACCGGCGTGATTTTAAGGTGAAACTGTCAACGAAGGTCTGTTCTAACCATTTTAAGAGTGGGTATCGATCGAAAGAGTGTCCAAACCCGACATTATATTTGAAAGGCTACAACAGTCCGGTAAAAGCTAGACGCAGTCCAAAGAAAAGGCATCCTTTGCCACCAAAGGCGAAGAAACGTCGAGTATCTGATGAAACGCTGTCTTGTGATGACCCGCCAGTTGAAAAGAGCGCCCACATTAAAGAGGAACCAAAGGATTTCTCACCTGAGAATGAGCCAGATCACCGAAAGCAGTCAGATGACTCAGATGACCATATGAGAACAGATGAAAAGAAACAGAGAAGGAAACTATTTATAGATCAAGCAACATCCCACAGGAACTGCTTCAGATACACAGGGGTAACAAGACCTAAGCTTGATTTAGTTTTTGACCTAATCAAGGACAAAGCTAAAAACTTGCAGTACTGGAGAGGCTCTGTTGATACCCCACCATCAAGGCGTAAAAAAAAGAAAGCCAAACCAAGGATTCTCACCCCTTGGGAAGAACTAATACTAACACTAGTTAGGACAAGGAAAGGCTTTGATGTACATTTCCTTGCAGATACCTTTGGCATCTCAGCAGGTCAGGTTTCTCGCATATATAACACTTGGATAATATTTTTAGCCTGTGAATTATCCTTTTTGGTTCCATGGCCTAGTCAAGAGCAGATCCAAAGATCTTTGCCAAAAAGATTCGAGAAATTCAAAAATGTGAGGGTTATCATTGATTGTTGTGAATTTTATATTCAAAAGCCAGTGATTCCTGAAAGCCAAAAGTCAACATGGAGTAGCTATAAGAGTTACAACACGGTCAAGTTATTGGTGGGAATCACACCCACTGGTGTGTTTTCTTTTATTCCACCTCTGTGGACTGGAAGTACATCAGACAAGGAAATTGTTAAATATTCTGGTCTGGTTAACTATTTGGAAGAAGGTGATGCAGTTATGGCAGATAAAGGTTTTTTAGTCCGGGATCTACTTGCGTTTAAAAAAGTTCAGCTCATATCACCAGCATATTGTCGTGGACCAAGACTTTCTTCAAAGGCAGTGACTCATAGCCGACGTGTGGCTGCTCTAAGGTCACATGTAGAACGTGCAATATTGCGATTGAAACATTTCCGTATCCTATCTGGTGTAATACCTTTATTGTTGAAAATGATGCTGGATCGAATTGTGTTTGTTTGTGCAGCATTGGCAAACCTGAGTAGACGGTTGATAAAGTGAGATATGTGGATTACTGGTCTAAACTGAACTGCATGGTTATGGGATTTATTACTGTACAAGTCATAAAATGACTTGCTTGATTATAGTAATTAAGCTGATATAATTTTGCTAATTTGTATTTCTTTATATGACCTTTAAATGATATGCATGCACACAACAATCTTGGTGAATAAGATTTTATCAATTAATATCTAACAATGTTACAAGTACATGCATGCATACACATAATTATTACACACAAGTCTATCCAAACATTCCATTGTGAGATTGCAAGGCCAGACATCTGGTAAAGTTCAAAATACCCTTACTCTGAACTAGATGCAAAGTTTCTTTTACTATGAAGCAATAAATTTTTCAAACTGAAATACTTTCCATTGTTACAACATTTATTTTGTTTGGTCTAATTTATTAAAATAGTCAAAGCTTCAATAATAATGTTTTGATTATTCTTCTGGTGTAAAATGCCTTAACTGTACTGATGGTTGACTCCCAAAAATCTTCATCAAAGTCAACTTGAACAACATGTATACCTTTATTGGTGAACACAATAAAATCACATTGTGCTACACCACATACAGCCATTCCAGTCTGAATTTGAAAATAATGTATATGGTTTCTTCTTAGAAAACATATGCCATTCTTGTCAACACCCCCCCCCAATTGTATCTAAAAGAAAGGCTTCTTTCGGATCCATATCAAATCCCTTGTAAGGACATTTTATTTCCACCAAGGTGAGTGGACAGCAACCACATTTTCGTAAACCATCTGGGCTAGCACCAAGCCACCCATGTTTCCCACTCAATACTAACCCAGGTTCTTCTAACTCCAAATTTCTATGTTTTTTTGTCATTGCTCTAATGTAATACTTTTTAGCATCTGGTTCATTATCTATTCCATGTTGTATTGCTGGTGGATATTTTTCCATTTTTGTAGGTGATAGGAAATTATGCACAGTTTTTGTTACATCTTCATTAGGGTTCTTCTCAACAGTTTTTTGCCTAGTATAAAGGCCTTTTACCTTTTTTGCAGTCACAAGTAGGTGTCGCATTTCATGCCAATTAGGATTTGTATGTTGACCAATAGTGGCTGTACTTACAGTATATATTTCCTCTTGTGTAACACTTAGATTATCCACAAAAAGCTGGGCCATGTTGTCAACATTTTCTTCATTAATGTCATGATCTATGGAAAATGTCTCTAGTCTAGCAGTAATGGTAAAAGGATATATATCTGTTTCAAAACTGCAGTCTGAATCGGCATCCGAACTGCTTGACTCAAGATTATTTAGATCAAGATTACTTTGCTTTAAACCTAAGTAATCAAGTATTCCAGAATGTTTATCAATGTCTTTAAGTTGCTTTGCAAATTCCAGTTGCTTTTCATCAGGTAGATCATCTCTTTGTTTAGTTGGTCTAGGATCAAATGAATCTATCCAAGACTCATCATAGTTTGTCACTACTCTATTGCTATGTAGCCCAGGGGTATGAGACATTTTCATATCCATAAATGGTACTGGTTTTGTGTCTGGCTTGCGTTTTGGGTACCAGTATGCAGGTAGTGATGTCACGGATGGTCTTTCATGAGAAAGAAAATCATCCAACTCAAACAAGGCTGCACCAAGATGTCTACAACCTTGATCTGCTCCACCTTTACAATTACAAAATGCTGAATAGATGGCTCCATTTGGTTTAAGGATATACCATAACTTGTACATTTTGTCTCCTTCTGGCGTGCTATCTTTTTGGGTTGGAATGACTTGGGCAGTAACAAGGTGATATTTGCTATCATCTTTGTCAAATATGACCATGTTCTGCATTGATTGAACATGGCCATTTTGACATAGAGCATACTCCTCGAAACTACGCCATGAAGCCAGTTTATCTTTATCATATTCTGCACAGCTCATAATTAAATGATTAAAGATATCCATCAAGCCAAAGTTTGGCAGTGATGAAAAATCATTAGAAAGGTTTTTGATTTTGAATGGATTAGGAACATTCCCCCCAGCAGGTAAAGTTAAACGGTCATTCAATGCCTGTTCAATAGAATCTTCTCTAAAGTCTGGATCAACAATAGCATTCATATCATGTAGAGAATGTGCCAACTGAATAAGATCTTGTTTCTTATACGTTGAAACTGGTACACCACGCTTTTGTATGTACTCTTTTAACTCTTTTACTCGCATTGCAGAGAATTCTGGCACTTCTTCATGTTCCAGTTTGGCTGTCTGTTCATCTTTCATTTGTGGCATACAGGGTTTTACATGGTTCTTCATATATTTATCTTTCATTTCTCGTTTAGGTGGTTCATCTTTAATTCCAGACTTACAGGGTTTGGCTTGGTGTTTCACATGTTTATCTTTTATTTTTTGTTTAATGGGCTTCACTGGGTGCTTACTTTTTCTTTGGTGCATATTACTGGGTTTTAATTTAAAGCTTTGGTCATCACATGTTGGTTTGGTACAGGTGGTTTTAATTTTAGGTTTGACACCACTGTTTTTTGGTTCTAAAGCCTGCTTTTTTGTTTTCGAACCACAGTCATTCAGCTTGGGTTGCTTGCTTGCTTTAGGTAATTTCCGCTTTTGTTTATTTAGTTTTGGTAAATTAATATCACAGGGGATTACAGGTGAGGTACCATCATCGTTTTGCAGATCCACCTTATATTTTGTGGGCTGATTTTGAGGTCTGGCTGTTTTACAACAATCCCCTTCTGGTTCCAAAAGGTTGAAGTGATTGACTGTAGGGTACAGATCGTGTAAAATTAATGTGAAAGGACAGGCACAAGACCGATTGTGAGCAATTTTTGCGGGGCATTTCACACGTGGTTCGAACGTTATCCATTTCTTGCTTGACACTGTAAATGTGACAATAGGGCACTGAAGTACAGTTGCACAACTGAATATATCAACTGTCTCTGCCCACGTACCGTCTCTCGCACTTTTTCTCAGGTGCTCTTCAAGCGTTTTCTCGCTGAACAGGTAAGCTTCAGTTGTGTGGTATTATACCGCGTAGTTATTCGGACTGGGATCCTTGAGAGGGACACATCAGGGAAAGGGGTAATTGGGAGCGGGAGGGTCGTCGTTCGTGTGAGGCAAGTTTTGTTGAGTTCTCCAGTTCCGGCGGACTAAATGTAGATAATCCTGCCAATCTTTCTTCCGATCTTGGTAAGACGGTGGGTAATTCAAATATCGAGCACGACAGTGTGTCCGAAAAGGAGGGTAATGTCTTTGGGGAACGGGAAAATGGTAGTTGGTGTAACTGCAATTGTTTTCAAGGAAAGAGATATTTCTTATACTCACTTTTTGGCTCTTCCGGTGAATGCTTAATTTCCCCTTAGAGATACATTTATTCGATGATGAATTAGGTGGAGACTTTGATGGCTGAGGAAGTACACTATCACTATTATTCACTTGTATGCGATTATAGATTGGCATATCCAGAAGCGGTAGGTAACTTATTCAGTTCTTCGGTTTCGTGCACGAGCTTACAGATTGTTGGCGATTATTTTGCTGATGTTGTTTTACCTCATCTAATGTTGCATTGTAAGGACTAACAAAGGCTTTCAATTTAGGTTTGTTATCTTGGCGTTCATAGTTCGAAATTTCATCACTATTGGTGCTGGTGTTTGTCCTTGACTTTTATCTTTAATATACGGTTTTAGTTTAGCATTGCGTACGTTTATTTCTTTAAGAGGGTAGTCAGCATGAATAAATTCGTCTTGATCATTATTTCTATCTGTTGTTGAGCGTTTCACCGGTGGACTCTCAGCGTTGTTCATTTGGCTCATCAGGGGCTGCATTGGCGGCGAAGCTGTCTTGCTTTTGTTGTTAACAAGATTTATTGACAATAGATTTTTGCTTTTTAATGAGTTTCTTTCAATTTCAAATTTTGACAAATTATCTCGAAGTTGTTCAATTATGATATCACGCTCCTTTATTGCTCTATTTTTCTCGTCTAGAATTATAGAGAACTCCGTAACCAGGTTTTCAATTCTGGTGTCGTAAGACATTTGACAGTTGTTGGTAGAGTCCAAGACCTTACTAGTAAACTCTATAATCGCATTGGTAGAGTTGATAACATTGTTTATAGATGCTATTTGTTTTTGCATATCTGCTATGTCTGCCTTAACCTCTTTAATATCTTTAATAGAGATATTGTTCGGCCAACTGTGATGATTTAAGGGAGTCGGAAACTCTATAATCGCATTGGTAGAGTTGATAACATTGTTTATAGATGCCATTTGTTTTTGCATATCTGCTACGTCTGCCTTAACCTCTTTAATATCTTTAATAGAGATATTGTTCGGCCAACTGTGATGATTTAAGGGAGTCGGATTCAGATCTTTTAACTGGAGATATCTCTACGAGCTCTATTTCGGGTACTGAATCCACTTTGCTGGTCAAATAGTCAATATCCGTGTTCGTGGTTGTTTGGCTAGCATAAGTTATATCTAAAACACTCGTGAGATGATTCTTGAACTGATCACGGTCCTTTCCTTTGAATAGTAGGGAATTCTGTTTGCCCGGGTACCACGTAATAGTCAGATCAAGATCTACGCTGGAAAATTTCCTAGCTTTTCCACCTGGTGATGACCACTTGCCCTGTAGGCCAATTGTATTTTCAACAAAATATTTTAGCGATTGAAAGTCCATTTAATTCGGATTCCGTCATATGTTAAGTGGCCACAACCTTTCATAGACCTAATAATGTCTAAGTCAAGGTTCAGAGGCATCAAATTTCCGATTTTTGCAGAGCTCGAACAATCGTGACCGGCGGCCATGACAGTGATCATATGGTCCCAACTTTATGCATGTCTAAAAGCCAGTTTCATTACACAGTCAGTTTCATTATTACACTGTTGTTTGCTTATATACTCCCTCATATTTTGAAGTCAATTTTCCTTTGAATTTTTAGCTTTTTGTAATTCTCCATTTTTTCGGAGCCTTACACTGTAGATAAAATTCCCAGTTTTGGCTGAGGTGCAATTAAGAAGTTCTGAAACTGAACAGGCACAATTTCAAACAAATTTGAATGCTATGCCTCAGAAAGAACATACAAATATTGCTCTAAATCTGAAATGTTTGCAAACTGGAATACTACAGCTGTACCATTAGGATTGGACATTCCAAAACAATTATGTGCATGAGAATCAAACAGATAAAAACACTCCATATATGCTTTATCAAACAACATATTTATATTTAACAAATGTATTTGCAATTGCTATGTTTGCAATTGCTAAGTTTATAATGAGAGGGAATGTCCTCATGAATGATAACAAGCCCTTGCAGTTCTTGTTTGTAGTCAATTACACAAATTACTTCCCCATCATTTGTTGTGACCATGGAATTAGCCACAATGGATGGCTCACTCACCACACTGGGTGGTTCATTGTCACTAGCCACGATGGGCAGTTCATTTCGCTCAGATGTCGAAATAAAGCTCATGCATTCTCAAAACATGATGCACAAATAAGTTTTGGCAAGGTCTTTTGTGGATAATACATGGCGCCTGGTGGCAAATTGATCAAGTGATTATTCATTGCCTTTATCTACATTTTTTCGCCTTGTATTACTAAAAAAGTACTTAATGTTGTTAGCGACCAATGCTATTGTGGGCTGTTAAAAGTCCTAATAAACTATTGAAAGCACACTGTTTACCTCTAGAAATAACATCAAAACAGTCATCACCATGATTAATATTTCCTCGGATAAAAATTGCCATAATTTGTCGATTGTTTCAGTGTCATGTCTCTAGTTGCCTACGACCTTGCTTGTTACTATATGAATATGGCAGCGTCAAAATCCGCCAGGGAGCATAATTAATTTCGTAACCCCCTTGAATTGCTGACATACAATCAGAGTCGAGATTCAAGACAACTAAACTCGGCGCGCAGAAAGGAAACTGGGTACCGGCTAAACTAGTGAGCTGGGCGCGGCAGCAAAAAATTACTTTGCCTGGTGCCGACCTGGATTTATTTATTGTAACGAAAACCGGCAACTACTTTATCTATGCGCAGTTATATTTCCTTTCAACTCTATGCGTCAAAAGCTAGACAAGTTCAACCAAGATGACTTGGCATTTTTCATATGTTGAGTATTGAAAGGAGCATCTTGATGCAGTCCATGACATCGCACAGCTTCCAAGGGTGGAAAAATGGCCACTGCACCTCATATTCAGATGCTGCTCACTATCTTGAGAAAGGAGATGTGTTGTTTGTGAGTGTATTAAGGAGACAAGGCGTTGTGGTGAATACGAACGAAAGTAGCTCCTTTTTTGGAGCTTTTAAACTATAATTTTATGTTAATTTTTGTATTGGCAGCTCACAATTCGTTTTAAAGCAAACATGTTTCGGCAAACTGTCATCTTCAGTGCGATGTGTAAGAGTTATAGCAATTTAAATATATGTACAAGTTAGCATCAAATGTGGTAACTAAGTATGACTAACTCTCCTGACGAAGGCCCTCAGTTCAAACGTCAAGAAGTGTTTTGTCTATTTTAGGCAGTTGTTATGCCACATTTGATGCTAAGTTGTTTGAAGATGCTGCCACACTGCTTCCGGGTTATATTGGAATATATATACAAGGTCTATGGTGGTGTTATACAGTGCCATGAAATGATGTATGCCATAAAAGCGGAGACTATTTACAATGGCATTTACATTATAGTGACTCTACTTTGCCCAAACATGTTTTCGGGCTTTAAAAAGATTCATCATTTATTTGAAATGTCTGCTGACTATTGTGCTGCTATGCAACTATAGGTATGTTTCAAATGGCACATTTCTCATATAAAAAATCTTTAATTAAACAATAACACGAAAAAATAATATTTCTTTGATAAATTTTGTGACACGATTAGAAATGTATATATTATATATCAGTTTTTTCCATACTGCATGTATATAAAAATATATACATCGCTTTCTCCGTATTTAACCAATAATTATCCCTTAGATAAAGTATATAATTTATATACTTTCTATATCTTGGCATAAATTGATATAAAAATCTTTATATAAATAAACAATGCAACACACCTGCAACGGATAACGTTAGTCGAGATTAGGTAACAATGTACATTAAATTTGAAAAAAATAGATAATGTTGAATGCAACAAAAGCTTAGACAATTAGAAATGTATATTATACATCAGGTTTCCCCATACTGTGGGTGTAACTCAAAGTCCCCAGAATGTATGGATAATAATTGTCCCGGACGTAATAAGGTATTGTTAAAAAATATCATACATCGCTATGCATGTATTTAACAACCAATTTATATTCCTTAGATCAAAATATATAATTCTACCTTGTCACCAGTCGTAGTCACTACGGAGTTACAGGAGAAGCACGCGCGTGCCCATCCAGTCTATTTTGTACAAGTGCCTTTCAGTCACTTTACAAGAGGTTTTCGGTTGCAATCTACATATTGAATTTTAACGCTTTTTTCACAAGCATTGTACCACCTTTTGGGTTTAATCTGACCTAAGTACACACCAGGTTTCGTTATTCACCTCTTGTGTTGCTTAATTCTCATTATAATACAGGTTTCGCTCTGTTGGCTACGAACAGACAACAAAGATGGCGACAACAGAATCTGTAAATTCGGTCCAAGGCCATGCCACCAGCACACCTCAACCTACTCAATCGACTATGCTAAAGCAATTGCACAAATTTTTCGGCAAAATAGTGGAACATTTGCCGATCAGAAAAGCTGCAAGCAAGAAACGCGTGTTAGAACGTTAAGGTTAAAGAGGTTAAAACGAAAGCGCTCTAGCGAACGCTCTTTGCCCGTAGATTCGGACTATGATGGAAAATTCTCATCCAGCGAGCCACCGGCAAAGAGGATGAAAGAAGCAGATGCACGCAACGGCATTAGTATCACAGCCTCTGATGAGGATATACGGCAGCTCTTGCGTGATCCACTGGGCCATAAAAATGCTGACGATAAAGTCACCGGCCATGACAAAGATGGTGCAG